ATAAAGTTTTGGATAGATTTGTTAGAGATTAAAGACGCATTGGGGCTAATGGGGCACCCTTTAAAGGAGAAACTAAAAATTACTAGACGATTTTACTGATTTTGTTTTATCTTTCATATTTTGTTAAAAATCATTTCTTAATTGTAATTCATTTTTTTATTCATGGAATAGCATGTTTTCTATTTTCATAAAATTATGAAAGATACTTATGAATTTTGTTAATGGAGTTATTATGAATTTAAATTTATGAAATAATTATTATAAATTTTGTTAGTAAAGTTATTATGAATTTAAACTTGTGAAGTAATTATTATAAATTTTGTTAGTAAAGTTATTATGAATTTAAACTTATGAAGCAATTATTATAAATTTTATTAATGAAGTTATTATGAATTTAAACTTATGAAATAATTATTATAAATTTTGTTAATAAAGCTATTATGAATTTAAACTTATAAAATAGTTACTGTGAATTCTACAACTTATTTACTACCCTATAATAAAATAAATCTCTCAGATTCTCAATTAGTATAAATTTAAATATATCATATTAAGGTCAGAATAAAAGAGCAAAATTGCTAATTAAAAATATGACCAAACTTTGAAGTTTGACTATCCTCTTTTTTCCTTGTCTTTCGCGGTTTTAAGGAAAATGCATTTAAACTTTTTCATACCGTTCATACTCACTTAGGTCTACCGGTCCAGGATCATATTAGACCATAGACGACCTTCTTTTTTCTTAAAGAAATTCTGTTCTGCAGATTTTCCTTCTCTCTCGACACTCTTTGTCTTTCTTTTGAACAATCTACATGATTTTCGTTTCATACATTTACATGTATGAACAAAACAGTCTCATTTTAAGTTAAATGTTAGTTATCCAAAAATTGTTGATACAAATACAAATAAAAAAATGAAAGAAATAGAAATATTTTTAATACAAACTCAGTGATGTTCGTTAAAATTTTTATGACTGAAAAGATGATTTGAAAAATAAAATCTAGTTTTTTTCAAAACTCTTAAATTACTTCACAAGTTCCGAAACTTCTAAAAAAAATTCCACTAAAACGCCACAAAAATGGCTCCCTAAACATGTAACAACACCTCATAATTATTCCACAGGCATAAGTTCAAGGACCACTTAGCCGACGCGTCACAACAGACTCGAAAAACGAACCGATGACGCATGGACACTACGTCTCGTCTTCTCCCAAGATGCAAATGGACCGTAAAGCGCAATGTTCCGCTGTCTGGATCAGACCTAACCCAACCTAACGCGCGTCGTTAGTCACTCCTTTAACTCGTGAAAGTCCTCGAACCTCGACCTAGCCGTCCTACCTGTTCGAGCCGTGAGTCTCAACACCGTTAAGCCATAACGACGCCATAACAAAACGGCAGGTTTACGCTGTAAGCTCCATCATCACTGAACTAAACAATTTTGGAATAAAAACAAATAACATAAAAATAAAAGACGAAGGACGGAAGATAAATTAGCTGAAAGAATGCGAAAATATCGAATTTGGAGAATTTTACAAAAATGTATCACCGAACTGAACAATTTTCAAATAAAAACAAATAATTTAAAAATAAAAGACAAACGACAGAACATAAATTAACTGAAAGAATCCAAAAATATCAAATTTGAAGAATTTTACAAAAATGTATAATATTTTATTTATGGAATATTAATGGTATTAAAATTAATATTTAGTTTACTCAGATTAAGTCAGAAATTTCGAAGTGTTCAAAGTTCAAAATTTTCACAATTGTAAATTCACACATTTTCAAATTATAAATTCGTTTAATTTCAAGTCTATAGATTTCTAAATTGCAAATCCCAAAATTTCAAAACTCTAAACTGTGAAATTTCCAAATTTCCAAAAGAGCGAATTCATAAATTTGCAAATTCTTAAATTCCCCAAATATCCTAAATTTCCAAATCCTCAAATTCCTCAAATTTCCCAAATTCCCCAAATTTTCAAATTCTCAAATTCTCCAAATTCTCAAATTCCAGATTTCTAAATCCCAATTTTCCCAAATTTCCAAATTCTTAAATTTCCCAATTTTCCCAAATTTCCAAATCCCAATTTTTCCAAATTTCCAAATCCCAAATTCGCCAAATTCCCAAATTCTCAAATTCCCCAAATTACCAAATTCTCAAATTCCCCAAATTACCAAATCTTCAAACTCTCTAAATTTTCAAATTCCAAATTTCCAAATCCCAATTTTCCCAAATTTCCAAATTCTTAAATTTCCCAAATTTTCAACTCCCAAATTCCCCAAATTTCCAAATTCCCCAAATTCCCCAAATTACCAAATCTTCAAATTCTCTAAATTTTCAAATTCCAGATTTCCAAATCCCAATTTTCCCAAATTTCCAAATCCCAAATTCGCCAAATTTCCAAATCCCTAATCTTCCAAATTCTCAAATTCCCCAAATTTCGGACAAAACATAAAATTAACTAAAAGTATCCAAAAATATCAAATTTGAAGAATATTACAAAAATGTCTAACATTTTATTTATGGAATATTAATAGTATTAAAATTAATATTTAGTTTATTCAGATTAAGTCTGAAAAAGTTGGGTATTTATATCCTTTCTAACGACAGCTAGAGATGTGCGGAGCCAACATGCGTGACGCACAGAAAAAGAAAAGAGTACGTAAATCACCACTCTAGGCATTGTCGTACAAAAAAGAAACCAAAGGGTGGTCTTTTTCTACCATTTAACGGGCTTTTGGCCAAACGCGGTCCAGGTATAATACGTCTATGGTTTACGCAGACTGGCGTGTATCGTTAAGGCGATTCGTTTAAAAACCATACACGGCTGGATGCTCCTTTAAGGATGCCTCGCAACGCAGGCTAAACTGTCGTCGGAAGGCTCGGAGGAGAAAACGTGCACTCGTCGTGTGCCAAAGGGGTGTCCGTCCAAGTGTGTAAACGCAGGCTCGTGTGACACCGTTGCAAACACTATGTCGGTGTTGTATACCGACAGGTATAACGGATCTATAGAGACGTTCCACGGCTTAACGCTGTAACGACAGCCCCGTCGAAGAAGCACGTTTTATCCATAAACGAACCTTCTGAATTTATGTGATTCTGAGGTGCGAGGTTCATCGATCGCCATTTTTTTTTTATCTTGTGGAGCATGTGCGTGGGTTGATTTGTTGGGAGACTGGGGGGGTTGTTTTCGCGGTTATTATTGATGTGCGTTATGCTGCGGGGGTTTGAAATAGGTTACTTGTATATTTTTGGAGGTGGGTTTATAATTCAGGTTCTTGTGAGGTGAATTTCTTTGCGGTGGAAATTTGGGAGGTGTATTGTAGGCTGGAGGGTTCAGGTGTTAGATGTCTACGCGTTGGATATTGGCACGGTAGATATAGGCACGTTAGATATTGGTACGTTGGATATATAAGCGTTAGATATCCACGCGTTAGATATTTGCACGTTGGAGATGTAAGTGTTAGGTATCTACACGCTAGATACCCACGCGTTAGATATCTACGCGTTAGACTTCCATGCGTCGAATATCTACACATTAGATATCCACTCGTTACATATCGACGCGTTAAATTTCTATGCGTTAGACTTCTATGCGTCATATATCTACGCGTTAGACTTCCATGCGTCAAATATAAATGCGTTAGATATCTATGCGTCAGATATCTACACATTAGATATCCACTCGTTAGATATCGACGCGTTAGACTTCCATGCGTCATATATCTACGCGTTAGACTTCCATACGTCAAATATCAATGTGTTAGATATCTACGCGTCAGATATCTACACATTAGATGTCCACTCGTTAGATATTGACGCGATAAATTTCTACGCGTTAGACTTCCATGCGTCATATATCTACGCGTTAGACTTCCATACGTCAAATATCGACGCGTCAGATATCTACACGTTAGATATCCACTCGTTAGATATCCACTCGTTAGATATCCACTCGTTATATATTGACGCGTTAAATTCCTATGAGTTAGATTTCCATGCGTCAAATATCGACGCGTTAAATATCTACGCGTCAGATATCTACACGTTAGATATTCACTCCTTCGATATCGACGCGTTAAATTTCTATGCGTTAGTCTCCCATGCGTCATACATCTATGCGTTAGACTTCCATGCGTCATAAATCTATGCGTTAGACTTCCATGCGTCAAATATCGACGCGTCAGATATCCACTCGTTACATATCGACGCGTTAAATTTCTATGCGTCCGACGTCCATGCGTCATATATCTACGCGTTAGACTTCCATGCGTCAAATATCGACGCGTTAGATACCTACACGTCAGATATCTATACGTTAGATATCTACGCGTCAGATATTCAAACGTTGTATATCTACCCGTTAAATTTGCACGCGTTCGAAATCTACGAGTCGTAGTTATAGTGCAGTATTTCTTTATTATGCAAGTCTCTTCTATCTTGCCCACTCAGTATACTAAACAAAGCTACATTATTTACAGTAAAGTAATACCATATAAGCATACTTTTAGAAATGAACCTCAAATACATCGTGCACTCTACATTACTGTAGAACACATCATCTATTGCATATTTCAGATAATTTAAGATTTACTAAAAAAAAGTATATATTAAACAAAAAAATTTCTGAGGAACAATGTCTGTTGCAAAATATTTTTTGCTAAAATTCTTAAGAAAAGAAAAAGCGTGAAGTTTGTTAAATAATGTAATAAATACATTTCCTCCGGCGCAGGGAAACGCACATAAAATCCACACATAGTTTCTTCAAAGTTTTATCGACAAATGTTTCTCCTATCGTATTCCGTGCAGCGCTTTCTTCAGACTTACGAGGTACTAACCCAGACTATGTACCACTGAATAAAGTATTATACTTCCTTTCATTCTTTTTACGTTCTTCCGTTAGAAAGATCTCTCCTATCACACCACTTTTCACGCATTGAAAAACCTTCATGTTCCATTTGTTCCGGAAGACGAAAATAAAGGATCACAAGATTCGACGTACCTTTACGAAGATGTGCGTAGGGGTCACCGACGTCGTTATCGTGATAGATCACAGAATGTAACGTGTTATTTATTTCGTGAGGTGGAAAGTAATAGTGCGCCTTCTCCACGTACCACGCGCCACTGCGCGGGGAAATTATTTTCCCATGGAAAACACCGTCACTGATGCTACCGAACACGTGACTCCCAGGTTCACCTGAAAATAGACCAAAAGGGTGTTTATGAGTGATAAGTATTTCATTTCATTCTTGGAAGGGGTATTCATTTATAAAGGGTATTAACTTCATCTTTCATTGTAGAAATTTTGGAAAAGTTAAAAATTCCAAATTTTTGGATATTTAAGACATTTGAAATTTGATGATATTTTTGGATATTTGGAAATATGAAATTTTTAGAAATTTACGAAATTTGAAATTTTGGGAAATTCGAAATGTTGGAATTGGAAAAATTGAAATTTTGGGAAATTGGTAAATTTGGAATTTGAAAATTTGAAATTTTGGGAAATTCGAAATGTTGGAATTGGAAAATTTGGAAAATACGAAATTTTGGAATTTGGAAATTTGAAAATTTGGCAAACTCGAAAGTTTGAAATTCGAAAATTTGGAAAATACGAAATTTTGGAATTTGGAAATTTGAAATTTTGGCAAACTCGAAAGTTTGAAATTCGAAAATTTGGAAAATACGAAATTTTGGAATTTGGAAATTTGAAATTTTGGCAAACTCGAAAGTTTGAAATTCGAAAATTTGGAAAATACGAAATTTTGGAATTTGGAAATTTGAAATTTTGGCAAACTCGAAAGTTTGAAATTCGAAAATTTGGAAAATACGAAATTTTGGAATTTGGAAATTTGAAATTTTGGCAAACTCGAAAGTTTGAAATTCGAAAATTTGGAAAATACGAAATTTTGGAATTTGGAAATTTGAAATTTTGGCAAACTCGAAAGTTTGAAATTCGAAAATTTGGAAAATACGAAATTTTGGAATTTGGAAATTTGAAAATTCCAAATTTTGGAATTTGGAAATTTGCAAAATTAAAAATTTTGAGGAATTTGGAAATTTAGGCAAATTCGAAATTTTTGAAAATTACAAATTTTCAAATTTTGAACCCTAAATCAAAAATAAAAAATGTTACACCCCACCCCATAAAATTACATTCCATCAATAAAACAGTTATTAACAAACAGCTGCTACTCTAAACAATAATAGACTATCATAAAAAACGAAGACTAATAATCACAAAAAAGCTCATCCGGAAGAAGGTGTTGATTTTTCATCCACCTACGGAGTAGAATCTTCTTCACCCTCTCGTTAAAGTAATTCCGTTATACTTGTTTCTCCAAATAAAGAGTAAAAAGAGGAGATTTAGCTTCTTCTTCGCGTTATTGTTTATTTCCGCGTTTACAACAGTGGAAACAGTGCTCTAACCAGTAGGAAGTGTTATCAACTACGAGATGGAATTTTGTCGCTCGTGAAACTTTTCCTGTTACCGGCGATTCTATTTTGTCGTCGTCGAAATAGCGCCGGAAAAACATTCCGTTCTTTGGTAGTAGGGCAATCAATTAAAACGTCATTTCTTACAAAATTAAAAATTTTGAGGAATTTGGAAATTTAGGCAAATTCGAAATTTTTGAAAATTACAAATTTTCAAATTTTGAACCCTAAATCAAAAATAAAAAATGTTACACCCCACCCCATAAAATTACATTCCATCAATAAAACAGTTATTAACAAACAGCTGCTACTCTAAACAATAATAGACTATCATAAAAAACGAAGACTAATAATCACAAAAAAGCTCATCCGGAAGAAGGTGTTGATTTTTCATCCACCTACGGAGTAGAATCTTCTTCACCCTCTCGTTAAAGTAATTCCGTTATACTTGTTTCTCCAAATAAAGAGTAAAAAGAGGAGATTTAGCTTCTTCTTCGCGTTATTGTTTATTTCCGCGTTTACAACAGTGGAAACAGTGCTCTAACCAGTAGGAAGTGTTATCAACTACGAGATGGAATTTTGTCGCTCGTGAAACTTTTCCTGTTACCGGCGATTCTATTTTGTCGTCGTCGAAATAGCGCCGGAAAAACATTCCGTTCTTTGGTAGTAGGGCAATCAATTAAAACGTCATTTCTTAGGTGGGAGATTTATTGATACAGTGACGAGATTTATGTTCACTCGAAACTTCTTTCGCGAGGCAACCACTTTTAATACTGGAACCGTGATTAAATGTTTACTCGTTTCCATCGGACCGACAGAAATGATCCACGTCGTGGAACAAGACGGAAAATAATTTGCGATATTGCTGTAAAAAATTGTATCGATCGAAATGTCAATTTATTAGAAATTGATTATTAATTATTTCTGCTGTCACATTTACTGCATTGGGGATATAGAAAATAAGGGAACTAGGGTTATAGAGATATAGGAATAAAAATATCTAAACTAGAATTTAGATATGTAGACTAGGGAATTATGGATCTAGTCATATAGAGAAATATGGTTCAAGGAAACTATAACCAAGGGTATCAGGAATGCAAGAGTTTAGGGATATAGCGATCTAGGGAATTAGAGATATAAGGAAATTGGAATCTAGGGGAATATGGATCTAAGGGAATAAAGATCTTGGGAAATTGGGATGTAGGGGAATAGAATCTAGGGGAATTGGGATTTGGGGAAATTGGGATATAGGGAAATTTGGATCTAGGG